AAAACTGTTATACAAAAATTAAGTAGGACTGAATTATTTAGAAAATTTTCAGCCTCTCCAGATGGCAAAAGAGGCTAAAAATCAGAATGGCTACTGAAAATGTGGCATAGAGAAAAGACTGAGTGTGTGACTGTACAATCTTTTTTTAAAACCTCAGAAAGATCAAAAGCGCAGAACGTTCAGTCACACAAAGGGCCCTTTTAAGAGATAAAGAGTGTGTGCATGTCATGGATCTTCTTGACTACACCAGGGGCATCCAGGAAGCTGAAGGTCATTATCACTCAGCCTTCTCAACAGGAGGCCAAGAGAGAAAAGGGATTTGTTTGAAAAGATCTAGTGGATGTGGCTTCCGTCTAATGGAGTGAAAAGCAGTGAATCCATGAAAGACCACAAAGTTCTTGAGAATTATCTCAGCAGAAATCCTGCCAGCTGGGGGGACTTCCCTGGTGGTCCAGTGGCTAAGATTCCATGATCCCAATGCAGCGGGCCCAGGTTTGATCCCTGGTCAGGGAACTAGATCCCGCATGCCACAACTAAGACCCAGCACAGCCAAATAAATATATAAATAAATAAATATTAAAACAAAAAAAAAGAGAAGAGAAATCCTGCCAGCTTGGACAAAATGGGACAGAGAGAGAGAGAACAAAATGAAAAGAGGAGGTTGGACAACCAAAATTCTACTGGTGGGAAGCAGGCTCACAAAACGACTCAGCTGCAAACGTGTGTTACTTTTCATAAAATAGTAAGGATGACAAGAAGGTGGAACCACGTGCCCAGAGGGAAGAGCCAAAAGCCCCTGATGATTATTCCCAGGTCTTGAAATTGAATCAAGAAAAGTCAAACATTTACCTGATTTCAAAACAATTATGGACCCATGACTCCTTTTGACTTTCATTTCCCCCTGTTTGAGCCAGAATATCTATAAACATTATCCTATGTCTTCCTGCCACTGTATGTTGGGAGTATTGGGGTGGATAAATGGCCTCTTCAGTGTAACAGATGGAGAGCAATGGTGTCCTAGCAGCTGCATATACTGAAATGAGCTGCACCTGGACCTGGACCTGATTTAGATTTTGGACTTTTAGCTGATGAGATTTAGATTTAGATGATGAAAATTTAGACTTTGAACTCATGCTGTAATGAGATGAGACTCTTGGGAACCTTGGGAGGGAGTGAATGTATTTTGCGTGTAAGGGATGTGAATTATTGGGGATCAAAGGTGCACAGTGATAGGCAGAAGTCTAAGATGACCCCCCAAGATTCCTGCCTCCTGGTACACATGCCGAATATAATCCCCTCCCCTTGACTGTGTGCAGGATCTGTGAATATGATGGCATATCACTCCAGAGAAGGAATTACCTGGATGTAATTAAGGTCCCTAATCAGTTGACTTCTGAGTTAACAGAAGGAAGATTATCCTGGGTCAACCTGACTAGATCAAGTGAGAACTTAAAAGAGATAAGAATCAGCAACAGACATTCTCCTACTGGCCTTGAAGAAGAAAACTGTCATGTTGTGTAGAAGGCCATATGGCAGGGAATGGAAAATGGCCTTTTAGAGCTGAGGTCCTCAGTTCTACAGCCTCAAGAAACTGAATTCAGCCAACAATCAGTGAGATCACAGATGAGATCACAGCCGTGGTGGACACCTTGACTGAAGCCTTGGGAGACCCTGAGCAGAGAATCCAGTCAAGCCATGTGCAAGGGACTTCCCTGGTGGCACAGCACAGTGGTTAAGAATCTGCCTGCCAATGCAGGGGACACGGGTTCGAGCCCTAGTTCGGGAAGATGTCGCGGACCAACTAAGCCTGTGTGCCACGACCACTGAGCCTGTCTGTGCTCTAGAGCCCATGAGCCACAACTACTGAAGCCCGAGCACCTAGAGCCCATGCTCTGCAACAAGACAAGCCACCACAATGAGAAGCCTGTGCACCGCAATGAAGAGTAGCCCCTGCTCGCCACAACTAGAGAAAGCCCGCACACAGCAATGAAGACCCAACGCAGCCATAAAAAAAAAAAAAAAAAAAAAAAGAGCCACGTGCAAACTTTTGACCTACAGGAACTGTAAGATAATATATTTAACGTTTTAAGCTGCTAAGTTACAGAGCCTTCAAAGCAGCTATTAAAAATATATTCAAATAATTAAAGAAAACTATAATTAAAGAACTAAAGGAAAATATGCTAACAATGAGTCAATATATAGGAAATCTCAACAGAGAAACAGATACTACTGAAAAGAGCCAAATGGATATTCAGAGTTGAAAAAAAATGACTACTGGAATAAAATGACTACATAGCTCAACAGTTTGATTTGACAGAAGAAATCAGTGAATTTAAAGATAGATCATCAGAAATTATCCAATTTGAAGAACAGAGAAAGGGGCAGAAAAAATATTTGAAGAAATAATGGCTAAAACCTTCCCAAATTGATTTTTAAAACATTAAATTACATTCCAAGCTCAACAAACTCCAAGTACAATAAATACAAACCACATTTACACATATCTTAAACTGCTGAAAGACAAAGAGAACATCTTAAAGGCAGCAACAGAAAAATGATTCATCCCATACAGGTAACAAAATGATTAATGGATGACCTCTCAGTCAAAACAATGGTGACACTATGGTAGTGTAATCCCAAATTCACTGTGCTGAAAGAAAAAAATCCTTGTCAACTAGCATTCTATATCCAGCTAAACTATCTTTCCAAAAACTGAAAGCATAATAAAATCATTCCCAAATAAACAAAAACTGAGAGAATTTATTGCTAACATATCTATCCTAGATGAAATACCAAAGAAAGGCCTTATACTGAAAGAAAATTACACCAGAGGGTTACTCAGACTCACAGGAAGTAATGAAAAGCATGGAAAATGATACATAGATGGGTAAATATAAGAGACTGTGTGTATATTATATGTGCATATTTTTTCTTTTTCTCTTACTATTTAAAGCAAGACCTAAACCACTCTGTTACTGAGTTTATAACATATAGATATAACATATATGTCCATAATAGCACAGGGGAGGAGACAGGAGCTATACTGACACAAATTTGCTAAATTTTACTCAAATTAACTCAATACTAAGAATGAAGAAGATTGTAATAAATCCAGGAAGCATAATATAATCCCTTAGGGCAACTGCTAAAAAAGTAACTAAAAAATATATCTGAGAACTTAACAGAGGACATTCTTATCCATATCATGCAGATGAGGAAATGAGTGCTAGCAGGTGAAGCAACCTACCCCAGCTGGGGCTGGGCCCCAAGATCCTGACTCCACACAACAGGACTGGAGGCCAATCCATACCTTCCAGTGGGGCAGGTGGAGACCTACCCAGGCTGAGACTCCTCATCCATTAGTGAAGGGAAGATTCCTCAAAATATTGTAAATTGCCTTACAGTCTGAAAATATCTTCCTGGACACCCTGAATATTTTTATTAGTTCTTCCATCCTAAAAATTACCACGTAGAAACTGCTGGCGAGAGTAAGAGGGATGACTTCTCAAGCAAAGCTAATTACCGGCAGTGTCCAGTGAACACGCCCAAAAATGCTTGTGTAGACTCCCAGCACTCATTATGAATTTGATCAGCATTAATTTTCTGTCTGCCTGAACTGTCTTCCTATACCCTGGGAGGGGCTGACACCCCTTCAATGGAGCTCAGACTGATACTGCAGGAAGGGCGGGAGGAGGGGGCAGGGCAGGACTTCTTACCTCCATTACAGGCCGAGTGGGCATCTCACCTGCTTTATAAGTTACCACAATGGAGGAGGGAAGCTTTGGCCTCACAGCATATTACATTTACAGGAGAACTGAGCTGTGCTGGAAGGAGTTCATATCGTATTCCTGCCTGCTGAGGAGCTATTTAATCCTGTAAAGATAAAATAACTAAATTATTTAATATTTATTTTTGAATAAACACCTACTGATGTTTACTGTGCTTCACATTTTATAAAGTGCATTTTTGAAAACAGAAATTTAATGAACACATACTGTATGCCAGGGACTAAGCTAAGCCCTCACCTGCTCCATGTTATTTAATCCTCACAAGTGCCCCACAAGCTTGGTTTCACTATTCTCATCGCACAGATGAAGAAACTGAAGTTCAGAGTGGTTAAGATGCATCAGATTGATCCAAGCCAGGTGAACTGGATTTGTTCCTGGCTAATTGTTAAACTGCATCCCTCAAAGGGGAATGTGTAAAAAAGAGCCTGAGACAAAATTTGATGCTTTTTAATCAATTGAAGACATGTGTCATCTCTCACATCTGACTGACTGCAAAAACAAAGATTGGCAATGTTCTTGCTTTTTTTAAAAAAAATCACTCATATTGACTTCATCAAGTTGACAAGATCTCAGAAGTAGATCTGGGATCGTTCACAAATCAGAATTATGAAGAGAAACTGCAGTAGCTGCTGTGGCACAAAATCTAACACGGATTGAAATGACCAAATATTATTAATGAACAAATTTGAAAACTGAATTTCACATACAGCATTACATTTCTCCCTGACACTAATGTGTGATACAAATTAAAAATGATATAAACATGTTTTAAAGTCATTGTGGTAATTACTAAAAGTAGCCAGCCATCCCATAGCTAGGCATTGTCAGAAGTCTACTCTGTGCAGTTGAAGTTTATATTAGCCCAGTACATCAAATTGTTCCCTTGAAGTTTCAGCTTTGGTGAGTCCTCTTTGACTAACATAAAGTTTTGACTATGACAGCAACACATAACCAAGTAGCATTCTTTATTAAATAAATCTAGATTATCTCAATGACCTGAAGGAATCAATATAATGTTCCAGTGTCCACCTATCTACAATGAGAAAAATCTTAACCCAATGTTTGAGGTATTATCAATTTATGCAAAGTACATTGCATGAGTCTAATTTCCATGCAAACATCTTCATACCTGGGAATCCTTTCAAATACCAAAATAAAATATTTACCTTTTTGCTAAGGGGAATAAAAAGACATGACAGTAGAATATACATATTGATAGAAAAATAGTTAAAGCTTTTAATTCTCTGAATACCTAGAGTTAACATTTTATGACTACCCTTTGAAAACAGGGTATTTGGGAACAATTTTAAAGTTTTCAAAATCAGTACAAAGCTTATTCACATTTTTATTAAAGCCAACATCACTTTCACAAATCACAAAATGATTTCCTTATGAAAAGAAGAGCAGCCAAGTGTTTGGTGTGTCTGTCTCTGTGCTTAGCTAAGTCTGTTAAACACGGAGTCCAGGGGCTCCCCCATCTCCTCTAGGTGGACTCCGTAGTACAGTGACACTTCATACCATGTGTTCCTTGAAGAACCATTTCTGATGATCTGAGTTGGTACAGTCTCGTAAGAGTGGTACAAAACTGTCGCTCAATTCCTTCCTCTCAGCCTGAACACATTTCTTGGACTGTACATGAAATAAAGAACCATCCTACAAAAGATAATAGACATTGGGTGTTCAAGATAATTATAAGCAATTCCTCAGAAAGTATCTTTTCCTTAAAATGTGTTGTTAAGTGCTCAGGGTGATTTTTATTATTTCAGAAATATTTATTGAGTAGTGAGTGTCTGCAGGTATGAAGGCAGCCCATGACTGTCTGTGCATAGAGAGGGCCAGCCGTGTAGAAACGTATGTCATGCTTGTCTCTCCCCGGAGCTCTTCATGAGGTCCGTGACTCTACCGTCAGGGCCGACGGTGCCACCTGCTGGCTGTTCTGGGATCGGTCAGACCCTATATCTCACCCTTGCTGATGTTCTTTTCCTTCAGGGTAACCAGGACCAAAGATCCTTTATTAATCTCTTCCACTTCTCTTAGGTCAACTAATTCCATCTCTGGTAGTCTCTTTCTCCTATGTATTTAAGTGGAGAATCTGGAAACTTGGCTTTAGTCCCAGCTCAGCCACAGACCAGCTGGGTGAGGGGACAGGTCACCAGAGAGGAAGCGGGTTCTGCAAACAATGCCAATTCCCAAACCCCGAAGGACAATGACCCTGTCTAACGCCTCACCCATTTCTCCTTTCCCCAACTGTTGCTGAGTTAACTCGGCAAGTCTCTCCCCAAGTTCTGGAATTTATTTTTTTCCCTCCGTCTCTCTCTGGTGTAAGCTGTACAGCCCCCAAGGAACTTCATCATGGTTGAGCAGCAAAAGGGCAGAATAAGTGGCATACCTGTTCCAGGGAAACAGAACCCTTGGAAGTAAAATTAGATGCAAAAGAATCTCAATAATATTAATCTGGAAAGCCTTTAAAGGTGCTCATAAGTTGCCTTTAGAATAATGTGAAAGTAAATAATTAAAACTTCCCTCCTCCCACCCTTCTAAAGAAACTTGCTTAAATGGTCACTGAAATTAAAGATTTTTAAGGTAAAATTTTAATGACATTTCAAACCAATTTCATGATTTCTACCTTGCATTACTCTTCTTTGAGGGCTTACAATGGCTTCCAGTTGGAAGAAAGAAGGGAAGGACAAAACTTTTGGGGTTTACAAAAATATTTTTCCCTATTATTTTTTATATCACATAGACAGCACTATGGTGCCTGGCTTTTCAAGGAAACCTGCAAATTTCGTTGCTAATCATAACACTTTCTACAGGAAAGCATATTCCAACTTCTAATTATACTTAGAATTAATCCATTTATAAGTAGTATAGATGAATCTTTCTATCCCTGGGGCCAGGCTGGGAATGAAAGCTTTCCATTGACATAAAAGTGAACTAATTCTTTCTTTTGAATTATTTTCTTTGGATTTATTCCCTCAAGTGCTTTTTTAGTGAGTCTTTGGAGATGACTGATGTATGAGTCCCACCACAGGCTTACTGCAAACATGGTAGAGGTAGTGCCTTTCAGGCGTGAAATAACACCCAGTTCCAAATCAACAATGGCTCTTCTGATAGAGAACTAACTCCATCAGAGAGGTTTTCTTGGTTACTATACAAGTAACAATTAATGTCTATAGAGCTTTACAGCTTCCAAAGACTCTTTCTGGCCATACATCTACTCTTCATTAGAGGTAGACAAGGCTGTGATTATTGTCCCCACTTTAGAGCTGGGAAAAATGAGACTTAGACAACGGGAGTGGCTTCTACTTGGATCTAACCTCATGTCCTTACACTTGGCAATTTGTTTCACTCGTTTGAACCCCACATGATCTCTGAACACATTGGCGACAGCGCCTCTTCCCATTCCAGCCAGCCGCAGCTCAAAGTGTAAGGAGGACAGGAAGACTGAAAGGGAATGGACAGTGAGGAAAGAAGGAAAGTGCTATCGGTGCTGGATGCCATGGGATCCCTTGGGGTCACTGTGAAGTTCCTGGTCTCCTATAGGGGGCACATCCCTGAGACTTGCTAGGGACTCGCTTTACTTCCAGACTCCCCTCTGCAGCCCATGGGACCAGGAGTGACAGCAAGGAAGGCGTGAGACAGCTCCCTTACCTCCTGCAAGATGAACTTCTGATCCTCTGGGGTGGCTCCCTCGCAAAGATGCATGATGAGAACATCCATTCCGGCCTCCACCGCCACGCAGCCTTCTGGCTGGTGGGTGTTATAGCGTATTTCATTCTGGGACGTGTACTCGAAAAACTAGAAACAGGGCGGCCAACATGTGCCAGTTACCCACTGATGTGCAAAGAGGGAAGTCTTTAGAAAGAGGGATGAGAACCTGGGGTCACCAGGGCGTGGGTGCTGGGATCCAGCCTTCTCCCCTCACCCACCAACACCAGCCTGTGTCCCCGGAGCACCACGTGCACCTCTGGAGGGGTGCTTAGCAAGAATGAATGGAGGGGCCCTTTCTCATGCCCTTCTCGTTTGCTAGATTGTGAGGGTGGGGCTGGTTCCTGGGTCACCCCACACCCGCTGTGCCTATCCCCAGGCTGTTGCAGAACGGCAGGAAAGAAGATGGACCGGTCCCAGCAGTCAGGGGCTCTCTGTGACCTTGACCAGCCACTTCCTCTCCTGTTCTTCATTCCTTTCCTCCTCCTTCCCCCAAAATATAATGGAGGCAACCATACCTTGGAGACTATAAAAGTTCTGTGCACAAGCAGGCAACAGGACTGCTAACAGGAGGACTTGTTCTTCAGAGCAATGGTTTTCCTACCCTAGTGTGCCTAGGAAAAATGCTGATTCCAGGCCCCACTCCCAAAGAGGGAATGAGGATTCCTTCTGTCTGAGATGGGGCCTAGGAAGCTGCACTTTTACACTTCTAACAAGACACACAGCCACCCATCCACCATGATCCATCCCCTTGCTTCCAGGAGATTCTGACACAGGTGACTGTTCTTAAGGCATATGGAGCACTGCTTCTCAAACAAATCTCCCTGAAAGCTGGTCAAGACAAGAGGTGGGTTGGGGAGGGATGGGATGGATCTGAGAATCTGCATTTCTAAGCTCTCAGGTGATGCTGATGGTACCAGGTGGGGACACCTTTGAGGAGTGCTATTCTAAAGGGGGTTGAAGAACCTAAAAATTTTAAGGCTGTATGGGTCCGAATTATGAAAGCTTACTGTTGACCATAATGGTGCATAATATTCAAATGGAATCGGGGTGACCCCAGGTTGGAGGAAAACTTGAATGCCCACCCCTCGTCTCCAGTGTCTGACACCTTACTTAGGACAGCAAGGCTTTGAAGGTCCAGAACCAATGCTTTGCTCTCTCCTGCATCCTCCCCTGGGCCCGCCCTGGCGGGTTTGCCTGCTTCCCGGGCCAGGGTCCTGTTATGGTCCTCAGAACTTCCAGGTCTTGCTCCCCTGCCCAGCTTGCAGTTCAGCACTTAACCCAGACGGATCTACCTGGGCCCTGACTGATGAAACTGCCCTAAAAACCGCTTTGCAATGTGGCACTACACATCAAATCCTATAATTTCATTTAAGAATTAATTCTGGAGAGACCTTCAAGATGGCGGAAGAGTAAGACGTGATCACCTTCCTCCCCACAAATACATCAGAAATACATCTACACGTGGAACAACTCCTACAGAACACCTAATGAACAAAAGAATAGGGACGGGACCTGCACTTCTGGGAGGGAGCTGTGAAGGAGGAGAAGTTTCCATGCACTAGGAAGACCCTTTACTGGTGGAGACAGGGGTGGGGTGAGGGAGAAGCTTCAGAGCCGCTGAGGAGAGCGCAGCCACAGGGGTGCGGAGGGCAAAGCGAGAGATTGCCGCACAGAGGATCGGTGCCGACCGGCACTCACCAGCCCGAGAGGCTTGTCTGCTCACCCGCC